ACATATATGTATATTATATATATGATTTTATTTTACAGTTATAATCTATAATTGTGTGTATGGGCAGAGGAGATTCCCAGTGATGAAGATGAGGTGAACGAGAACCATAACGCCATGCAGCAGCAGTCCAGCATGCCCACGGGCCAGGCAGGTGAGGATGATGATGAGGATGAAGATGATTACTGGGATGATGACGGCTTAGAGGGAACACCCCTAGAGGAGTACAGCACGCCTTTAGATTACGACAATGGAGAAGACGAGTATCGCTTCTTCACCTCGGCCCTGCTCCGTAAGTCATTATTCAAGTGTTAAACAAATTGGAGCTGTCAGCTCAAATAACTCTTAAGTTGTTCTTCTTCTGTTCTTTTACCAGAGCTGCTCATGTCTATGAAGCTTGATGTTCACTTATGAATGTGGATAAATGCTTATATTTATCGACAGTTGACACAAAAATAATATTTTATGATGCATCTGTTTCAAAAGTATTGAGTATCAAGAGTTGGCACTGAATGCTCGGCCTGATTCTTAGTCTTATTTGCTTGTTCTTTGATGAGACATTTCCTGATCTAAATCATTTTATGACATTCGAAATAGAACATCAGCACTGTGAATCAAAGAGTACATCCTATTTTCAAGCTCACACCTTCACAGATTTCCCATTCTCACCACTCCCAAACACAGAAACAAGTGTCGTCAGCTAAAATATAATATAACTTTCTCAGCAATATAGTGAAAAACAATATAATACTGAACAGGTACAAATGCATAACTCCAACATGTAAATCAGAGTCAGCAATGACCATTCATCTTGTTCATCTGTCTGTTATAAAGAAGATATGCCCCAACTTGCAGAAAACGTTTTCTGTTTTCATCTTGACCTAGGAGTAGACTTGCACTGATTAATTGGCAGTGCTCGGAATCTGGCCGGTTTTCACGTGATCGGCCATGACCTGTTACCGGCCGGTCAGTCTAAAATATGCCGATATAAAACGCCGGTCAAATTCCCGCCGCGCCGTATGATTGACATCCTGTAACATCAGCAGCGCACACACACGTACATGTGCAACTCACGGCTTGGGCGATATGAGGAAGTGAAACATGGGCGGCTTTTCACCTTAATCATTCACGCACACACATCAAAAGAGAGAAGGAGAAAGTTGTTAATTGTCCGTATTCAACTTAACTGCGGAGCTCTCACTGCTGCACTGTGCCGCTTGAAACTGACAAGGCACGCATCCGCGCGCCGAAGATGCACGTGTCTGCACCCTTACTGGCGGGCGCGTCCCGAAGACCTGTGTGAATTTCCACAGGAGATATTTTTACTTTTTTCAGGGTATCCGCGGATCCTTGAAAAGTCTTAAAAAGTCTTAAATTCATGTATCTAAAATTAAGGCCTAAAAATGTCTTAAATTCATTACTCAAAGGTCTTAAAATTGTTGCGGCAGGAATATTTAATCTGACTTTCTTTCTTTTCTTTTTTTTCTCGCCGCACTTTTCTGTGAGTGTCCATGCGCCGTCCAATAACCGTCCAATGGTACCGCTTAAAAAAGTGTTCCCCCACTTTTGGGAGTGGGGGAACACTGCTCTCTCAGAGGCCAAAAGTGTTCCCCTACTTCTAATTTTACAAATTAAGCACTGGTTATAGTACAGCATGATCCCCCAACCATCGCTTATATTTATAGTTTTTTCGGTCTTAAATTCCATTCAAGGTGGCATTAAAATGTCTTAAAAAGTCTTAAATTTAACTTACTGAAACCTGCAGATACCCTGTTTTTGTCTATTCAAGAAATTACCCACAAATGCTATACACCTAGAAATATGTGTCTTTATAGGCCACCAAAACATTGTTTATCTTTTATTTCAGAATTTTCAGAAATACTGTCCACAGCCACACATATGACAGTATTATTATTTTAGGTGATTTTAATTTACATGTAGATAATCAGTCAGACCGTTTTGCCTCAGAATTTTTAAATGTCTTAAGTTGTATAAATTTTAATCAACATGTTCAACAACCCACCCATAACAAAGGACACACATTAGATCTTATAATAACACATGGACTTCCGGCCAGTATCACCTCAGTTATTGATGTAGGTATTTCACTGGTTTTATTCAACATTTGTCTTCAGAGACAACCGTTAAGAAATGCTATCTCAATAGTGAAGTGGCTGCAAATTTTACCTATCTTTTAACGGAAACTCCTATGGACTTTTTATCATCATCCTGTGATTTTATTGTAAATAATTTTAACAGTAAACTGAGAACAACCCTGGACAAAGTCACCCCTCCAAAAATAAAAAGACCAATCCAAACCCAATACCTCCATGGAGAAATGAAGAAGTAAAGCAACTTAAAAGAAACTGTCGGAAAGCAGAACGCAGATGGAGAAAAAGTAAATTGACTGTTCATTATCAGATATATCACAAACAACTCATAACTTACAATAAGGTAATTAAACGCACCAGACAAGCACATTTCTCCAAACTTATACAAGACAATCACAATAACCCCAAATTCCTTTTTACAACCATTGACCTTTTAATTAACCCAGTTTTTAGTAAGTCCGACAGTTTGCCCTCTAACTCCAGATGTGAGGAGTTTGCAGTCCACTTCAGAGACAATATAGACACCATTAGAGCAAATTTACAACAACCTAAGAATTTTAGTATAGAAGAACCTCTGTGTGAGGAAACACTGGAGAAGTTTGTCCTGGTTGATGCTCAGATGCTCTATAACATCATTTCCAAATTAAAACCAGCAACTTGCATTTCAGATCCAATTCCCACATCATTTTTTAAAGTTTATAGCTGTATGGATGAGCATGTTCTTCATATAGTAAACTGTTCTCTTCAGACAGGGGTTTTCCCGCAGGTACTTAAAACCACTGTGGTGAAGCCCTATCTGAAGAGAAACAATCTAGACCCATGGATTGTTAATAACTACAGACCTGTGTCAAATCTCCCCTTTTTAAGCAAAATTTTAGAGAAACTAGTTTTTAATCAGTTAAATGAGTTTTTAGATTCAAACCAATTCAAGTTCTTGAACAGTACCAATCTTGTTTTCAGGCCAATCATAGCACTGAAACGGCACTGGTAGAGGCTGTAAATGACATTAGGTCAAATATGGACACTAAAAAGGTCACAGTACTTGTCCTACCTGACTTAACTGCAGCCTTTGACACAGTAGACCACTCAGTTCTTTTAGACTTCGCACTATGATTGGACTCTCTGGCACTGTTATTAACTGGTTTGAATCACATCTTTTAAACAGGGAATTTTATGTTGGCATTGATAACTGCTCCTCCAAACGCTATAAAATGGACTGTGGAGTCCCCCAAGGTTCAATTTTAGGTCCAGTACTTTTTAATCTTCACATGCTGCCACTTGGAGGGGTCATCAGGAGGCACGGCATACAATTTCATAGTTATGCTGATGATACACAGCTATATATTGCCGTGTCTCATGATGACCCAAAGCCACTTGATGCACTTTTTAGCTGTATTTTAGATA